AAAATAGGAAACGTTTCAGTAAAAGTAATTTATTTCCTCCTTATTTATGAAATTTAATTACAGTTTTGAAATAAATGTACACTTCATGTATCATTAGACTTTTTTTAACTGCATTTTGTAATTTTCAACCTAATATCCATTGATTTGATCATGTTTCCGTGTTCAATAGAAATTTTCGTTTATTCTGCACACAACACATATTCTAATATTTATTAAATGTTATTGCCCACTTCTAATTTGTAATTCATGTTATGTACATTGTAGGATTTTTTATGGGAAAGGGTAGACATTTCTAGCGAGATAAGGTGTGTTTTAAATTAAAGTGTGAGCACAATAGAATGGCTGTAGTTTGGAGAACCGCGGTACGAATGAAGGTTGTTTCAGACAGAAACGACGGTTTCGAATGTATGAGCTTAGGTGCATTACTGCAGCTGTGCGTAGGACCCTGAGTGAGAGGGGAGTATGAGAGACGCGAGAATAACAGCAAGATAGAAAGAGAGAGTGAATGAATGCGGAAGGGATGAATGTTTTAAGGTGGCATGGAACGTAGTTCTTGGTTACGCGTTAGTGACTGAACATCTGAGAGATTCTAAACGAGTGGTAGTGAGTTTTAACGAGTATTAGTGGTATGAGTATTAACGGTACCAGTATTAACTATTGTTAATCAATTTTATTATGCCTCGATTATAAGTGTAAATTCTTTTTATAATAAACTACCTCCTTTTTTTATTACTTTCTTTTGTATCTCAACAGAATGTGGGATTTCCTCAAATTTCTTTCCACTATATTCAATTAACCATGGTTAACCCTCTATGGGTCGAACTTTTTTTCGTGACTGTAACAAAATGTATGTAGTATTATAAACATATCTTAGAAATTTTGTTAAAACGAATATATTTTCTAATTAATTAATTCATTTCATTTGTCATTTTGCGGTAAAAAATTAAATAAATCAACAAGTTCTCAATACATTGATGTGTGACTTCAAACTTACACGATTCTATAGAGGGTTAATTTTTGGCTTAACCCCTTAGCCTACAATATCGTGTCCGTTTCGTCATGAAAATTTGTAATTCTAATAAATTATTAAGGATAAAGTAGTTCTATCGATCACAGTTCTGAAATAAATCATAAGGCATTGGGTTAATCTCGGTTTATGTTCTCTGATATTTCATTTTAGAAAAAGATTTATAAATGTATAGCATCGTGAAATGATATTATATGAACCACTCTAATGCTTGCACAATAAGATATGCTAAACGATAGTAAACATTTCTCATGCTTTTTTAATTTGGCAATGGTCATATATGGTTGAAAGTGCTCTACTTCAAACAATATACTGCCGCGGAATTACATATTGGTACATAGTTATATATACATATGTGTATGTATAATACAACTATGAAAGTACTGCTAAGATTTTTAAGGAGATAGTATATGTATTTTTTAACCCCTTGTCCTATGATTTCTTTCTTAACTCTGATCGATACGACTACTTTGTCTTGAATAATTTATTAGAAAAAGAGACAAATTGTAGACATATTGTATGTTTACGTTTCCTTTTAAGTATGATAATTGATTATAGAAGAATAATATTTTCTTTTAATTCAAATAAATCAGGTAATGTTTGTGTTTGTTAAATCACATTGAAAATTTTCACCACGAGTCAGACGCGTTGTTATAAGGCAAGGGGTTAATGAAAAGAAACACAAATTGTAAATTGGAAAGAGAAATGGGAAAGAAATTTGTTGAACAATAATAATAGACTGAATGCTTAATAAAACATGGTATTAAAAATTCAGGTACACTTGTTAATTCGTTTAGTATTCACTTTAATTGTATGTATCTAATGTGTATCAACGAGACCCTACTGAAGGTGAATATTGGATTTAATCTGGCTTACTTTAGAGTAATTATAGTTAATTATTACGAGTAATTTACTACTAGAAGATAATTTATTATAATACAGTTACACGTAACCTGTTAGAGATTCAAAACCATATTCAGATAGCGGCGATTTCTAGAAAATTCTTTAACGGATCCCATTGGTAAAAGTTCCAAATACATAAAAGAAAAGTCTACAATGCAATACGAGGAGTCACAGCCTATCTGAAGCCTTTTTAAATTTCTATGCATCCTTGTACCAACAGGGACTGTTTCATTGTTTGTACTCGCGACTTTATGTTTATTGCGTCCAAGAGAATAGGCTATGGCTTCTCGTAAAGTCGTGTAACACGTGCTGGAAAGTTTCGAACGCAGCGCTAAGACGTTTTCACCTGCGGGTTC